TGCTACTCAGAACACAATATGCTAAACCCACAAACATAAGCAATTGAATATTCAGTGATCTTTTGGATTTAATTACCCATGGTATTTTGCAGTATTATTCAGGCCTTGAATAACTAACAAGAATCACTCAAAGAACCAGCATGTACTTTTGTCATTACTATAAATCCTTTTCAACTACCAAATACAACTTTCCTAATATAAAGTACAGTTCTTAGGCCTTCATTACTTGAAAGAGATGTATTTATTAAGATGACAAACCTAGTCAAAAACATCTGCAAAGAAAAAAAAATTAGAACAGGCTTAGCAGCATAACTCTGTACTCTGAGAAACCTTAGCATTCCAGGATAGAAACACCCTGAAAAAGAAAGTACTTGAGAAAGCTCAGAGCTTCTGTAGCACACTGGTTTGATTGACTCACACCTTTGGTTGCCCAGTCCATGAAAATGCTGGGATTTAAGACCAGCACGTGTGAAAATCCATGTAGTCCAGTGTCCTGTCTTTTGCTGGGGCCATCTGCATTCCAGTACATTCAGACTACTGTAAACTGCCAAGCAAATCTAGCACTTGCTAGTCAGCTCAGGTCCCAGGGGCACAGAGCTGGGGGGGCCGTGTGTGTAAATTACCCCTTCCTGACAGACTGGTTCCTGCTCCAGAGCCCAGGGACCCCCAGTGCTATGCATTGCTAACTCAAACAAAACCTGGGGAGATGGCTGGGGTGGTAAAGGGTTAACCAGCAACTGTGAAGTGTCAGCAAAAGCCTCATTTTAAAAAGTTGAAGAAATTTTCACCACTGTTCAGATCCCTGCAGAGAGGGCAGGAAGAAATCAAAGATAGATGAGCCAAAAAAAGAAAACAATAAAAAAAGTCAGGGTGTTCATACAAAGTTTGAGAAAAGCTGATTAACAAGAAAGCAGAGATGCAACACTGCACAGCATAAAACTCTCTACCAGTAAGGTTTCACTGCACTCCCTGTACCTGCACTTAAGATCTGAGCCCAAGAATTTGTATCCCTTCCAGCACTACAGTAAATAATGAACAGGAGAAAGTACTATTATGATTGCTATTACTGTTAACTGGGTGACAGTCCTACCTGAAGAATTCAGTCTTAGGAGTCTAATGCTATTTAGAGTCACAGACATCCTATCCAAATGTTGGAAACCAACACTACAGATAGTGGTGTCACCTGCCCCACCTAAATTCAAGACAGTAGATCAACATGGGACTAATGAAATAGTGACATTTTAAAAAAAAAGAGGGAGAGTGAAAGGGAAGATCTGCCTGAAAATGTCACTGTTTTTATTGAGAGCCATTCCAAGCCTGTTATAAGATAAACAGAAAACCCCACAATAACAAAGAGAGCAAGAAAACAAAGCAAGGCTATTGAAAGACCCCAAGGTAAACAACACACACCACAGACGAGCCAAACTCTAAATCTCACAGCAAGTGCACTGATAGCCTGACTTTCAAAGGACCTTCTGAACGTTTAATAGTTCTTCCCACTCTATCACAGCCAACAAAAACAATACTACATTTTATCTATTCCTTTTCCATACCTACATGCCAGAAGTCCAGTGAGAGCTGCAGAGAGAAAGTGCCAAGCACTGGGAAATTTTCATAACTGTTTTACAAAGGTTGCTTGATAGATATAAGTCTCCTCTTAAAATCTGGAGACATTCTGTGCAGGCAGCTTTCCCAGAGAGAGCACATCTCCCAGTATCTGTACTGAGTGCACAAACAGATGGGTACATTTTAAGACAGGGACTTGAAAACAACTATAGATGCTGCTTATACTAAGCACTTTGGTAATTTGGAGGAAATTACCACCTAGGCTCCAAGCAGGCAACCATAGAGGACAAAAGCTCTCTTCCCCTAAATGTTCAAAGTACTGTCAAGGAAACTGCTAGTGTACAATCTGTTCAAATGGAACCTTTCCCTCCTCTGATCCATTTAACTATTTTCTTTCTTAATAGGCATATGCAACCAAACTTCACTAATGGCTTTCATGGAAGCAAAATTAATTGATGGGAAAATGAGAGAAAATTAGTATGTGCCAGCTGCTAAGGACAACCTGATCCTTTCCATGACACCATGTCTGCAAAACTACACAGACACAGGTACTGCAAAAAGAGCCTCTGCAGCTTCACTGGAAAGTTTGGTTCTTGGCAAAATGGAATCAGGCAACAATGGAAAGAAATGTGTTAAATATCAGAGCTCCTATTGCTAAATGCTCTAAACATAATAAATTAAACATTTGGGACCAAATGCTCAACTGCTTTTAGGGCATCTGGGCCCATTTACACCAACAAAATCTGCTTTCAAGACAGAAGGGACTGTAAAACCCCCAGCAGCTGTTTCTATTCACTTGGCATCAAACATCAGAACTGTCCTTGTGACACTAAGAGAAGGATAAGAAAACTTTGCTGAGCTACTTGAATGCAGCCTAACTCCACATTAAGTGACAAAGCAGGCAGAACATTTTGGAAGATAACTTCCAGGCACCTTAACATTTAGAAAGAAATGACTGACCATGAGCTTTTTGGGTACTCCAGGTTCTCCCCCTGCCACAGCCCTTGAAGAACACAGCTGCTGATCCAGCATTTGGTTCAGCTACTAACACCTCTGACCCCCCATGGGCAGGTTCTGTTCCTGCTCATGCACATATTTGAACCAGTTGGGAAAGAGCACGTGTAGTGTGTCACTGGAACAGGAGAGAGAGATGCTCTCCTGCACAAGGCTTCAGCATAGAAGGTCTGTGCCACCTGGGAAGGACTGCAGTCTGTCAACATTTCACATCTATGCTTATGGCTAACAGGTTCACCAAAGAACTCTATTTAATCAAAGAAACCTGCACATCCAAATCTTAGCAGCATAAATAGGATGGGTCATTTTTTAGTAAAGATCTTTTAGCTACTGTCCTGGCTGCAGTCAATACACAAGAGAAAGATGTACTGGTAGACTAATACAGCTAACAACCTGGGGCTGAGTGGCACATGGCCTCAGAACACTACCTCATAAAAAGAGACAGCAGAAGCCTCAAAAGCTTCCTTGAAAAGCCAAATGCTGTTTGCTAGCACCCTGTTTCCTCCCCTGAGAGGATGAAACACACAGAACTCCTGTCCTGCCGTGACTGCAGCCTAAGCACTGAATTACTGCTACTTTCAGTATAGCCTAATGACTCCCTCTTCCCCAGTCCTACCCCTGTAAAGCAACTCACACAAAATTCACATTCATGTGCATCTCTGCTCAACAGTCTGACGAGAAGCACACATCAGCTCAGCAGTGGAAAACCTGGAGGTTTATCTCTGAAAGGAACAGTAGGAGTTGAATGCTTATGTAAGGAAAGGAATATTCTCTCGGCTTTGCTCCTACAATTCCTTTACCACTTAATTAAACCGGCATTTAATGTAAAAACAGAAATTGGAGATGATGATGAGATGCCCAACTACAAGAAAGCCGGGGAACTTTTCTGAGCACTGCAGTTTTTTAATCTAACTTTGAAGAGGAAAAATAAATCAAAGGAGCAGGGGATGCGTTTAGCTTGTTTTTGTGAAGCATCCAGGACACTTACAGACGTTACGGAAACCTCACGTGTGTATTCCTATGAACAGGCTATGTTTTCTCTGGTAAGTTTTTGAGACCCTCCCTGTAACTAATCAGAAATGCACTTTGAGGCCCTAGTATTCTGAAAAGTATGTCTGTAAAAATAACATAATGAATTCAAAAATTGGTTCACTGACTCCAGAGAAAGTATACTGCATTTACAAGTGTCTTTCTTCTATAAATCATTTCTGCAAACTCCACTGCTGCCTTTTTTTTCTGTTTTTCTTTTTTCTTTTTCTTTTTTTACCCTTGAATATGATTATTGCTAGTATTTCTGCAAGCCAGTCTGGGAGGAAAAAAAAAGCTTAAAAATCTGTCTGTATGTTAAAGGATTTAACTCTTAGGAATAATGAATACTTATATGGCAATAATACTACAGCAAGAAAACCTTTCAAAACAACTGTATCATTACTTCTGCAACCCCTCACAAGCAAAGCCAGCTGTGTGAGACTGCTACAGTGAGTGCCAAATGGGATTTTTTTAATAAGGTGAACACCTGCCCATTAAGAATAAAATGGAAACTAAAAAACTTATTTCATACAAGCTACCCACAGCTATCAATTGGTAGTAAGTTTTTCAACAGAGCCAAGTACAAACCAGTAACCTAGAACAGAAGGCTCTTTAAGAATATTAAATATTACTCACATTGAACACTTCAACATCTTTCCTACTCCTTATTTCTTCAACAAGATCCAGTGGCTTTCCCTTCGGTATTGGAATAGTTCCAAGCACCACAGTCCTGGAGCCAGCCAGCGTTTGACGAACAGCCTGAATGAAAGCCTGGCTGAAGAGTTCCATTTTACCAACCTCATCTATTACACAGATTCTTTTCTCTGCATCACTGCCATGGTTTACCTGTGGAAAAGTGCATCAGGAGACTGTAAACAGCACAGAACCTAGAATGTGGAACAGATATAATTTACAGAATTTACAGAAATACCTCAGAAAAACTATCTCCAAAAGAAATCAATTCAACTGTAATGCTGGGGAAAGTGGAAGAGCCAAAGCTGCTGCTGGCAAATGACAGACTTATAAATCTATCATTCCTATTTCAGAATAGATTTTTGGAAGGATGCAAATATATGCAGAGTATAAATACCAACTACAATAGGCAATATCCATATTATCACATTTCCTTCAAAGCAGAATTCTCGGAATGGTCCCATATGAGGTATTTGACAATTAAGAACTGCACTTTGCCTACTGGCAGCTCTCCATTATTCTGAGTCACCAACTTTTACAAACTTTACTCTTCCCATCGAATTATGCATTTAGACTAGATCAACATACACACATTTAAAAAAAGGCTCCCATTAAAACTAGATCTGAAAGTTTCTCCTCTTGTAGTTGGGTTGAAGGAGGGTCAAAACAAGCGTTTCTCTCAGAACAACTGGTTTTCTTCAAAGCTGTTTGGATAACAACCAGGCCATTTGCAAGCCTCTCTCACATCAGAACAGTCATCCTCCATTTCTTTGTTGAGATATACCCTATTAAATAGTCCTAGCCACGTGCTTGGATCATAGGAGACACCAGACCAACATTTAACCACATTTGTGGTTTGTTTGCTTTTTCATGAAGTGAATACTATGCCAAACAGTACCATGTTGCAAGGAAGTCTAGAAGAAACACAGGTGATAGCTACTGAGGGAAAAGAGGTCATAAAGTGGAAGAACTCTTCAACGGAAAAGGAAGGGCACTGCCTACTATCCTTTAGTAACAGTAACTGAGAACTGTACTCCATTACTTACAGAAGTGAGAAGGATAGCAACTCAGTTCAAAACCACTACAGATCCATGAATATGTACCAATAGAAGCATATGGTACAAATCCTAAAAAGAAAGAAATAAAATCGAAACATTTTCCCTTGTGAAGGCGAAGTATTTGCTTCTGGGAAAGTGAAATAACTGTCTAACATGCATCCTAAAATCTTTTCAAGCTAAGTCCCTACTGAGTAGCGCTTTTATCTAAAAGGCTTTCATAGATAGTGAGCCAAAAAGCCAATACTAGTCACTAGGTCACACACTGAGAAACAGAGCATTTTGCTTTGAAAAAAATTGAAAAAACTTAACCAGTCCTGCCTGGTAAAGCTTGCAGAACCAGAGACATCTCCCATCATAGGATGTACCCTGTTCTCACAGGAGTGAGCAAAGCCTTAAGAGCTGAAACTGTGCTCAATACTAAATGGGCACATGCCCATTCTGTACCACTCTCCAATCAAACTGGATATGAGTCTCCTGCTCTCATTCTTCATTTGTCTCTTCTTGTTTTCAGTTCTGTGATCTTCCTCACTCTCCTCTCCAATTCTGTGTCACCTACATGTGTGACCACATTCCCACAAAACTGATAAACAGAGCTTTCTGTGAAGACAGGGTCATGCACTGTGTGACTCTGCTGGCCCCTCCTCTTCTCTTTACCCTCTTGTACTTGCAGAAAGCTGCATAACAAACAGAAAAAGCCAACACTGCTAACACTTTCCTAGGAAGACCTCTCCTGGACTTCATATGAACTCAGCACTAAATGGATTCCAAGTACACCACTGGCTTAATTACAGCCTTCTATTCACTAATGTTGTAAATATAGTTACAGTGAAATTAAACATATGCAAATTGCCCCATTTTATTAATATTTTCTTTCTCCCTTGCTCCAAAATCTTTGCTTCTTTACTCTCAGACTTTAACATTCCTTGACAAAACCAAGAATCAGATCCTCAATTTCATTTTCGCTCCTTGCACTTCATGTTTGTTTGTTCTTTCTAAGTTCACCAGAAAGTCCCTTCTCCCTTGTCCCCTTGAGCTTTGGCAGTGCAGAAAAATCACAATAGGATTTTTTTTAGTATTACAGTCCAGCAGCTGCTGCACACTGTTTGTGGTATGTTATTGCCAAAATCAGATCTGTTCTTGTTTAATTCTGGACAGGAGAAAGGTTGGAGTGGAAGAGAGGAAGAAGGAAAAAGGCAGCAACAGAGCATTAGCAAAAGGATAGGTAAAAGACCATGTGCAAATTCTTGTCACAGTCAGAGCACTCCTGTATAGCAGGCTAAATCCCAAATAATCAGGCTGCTATCATCAGGCTGCAGGTATTTATACAGCAGCAATCAAAAATACTCACTGGATTCAAGAAACAAATGCTTCTACTGGAAGGAGATGGGAATCAGAGGAAGTGGGGAAAAAAGGCTCAAAAGGAGGAGAGCAGCAGCAAAAGCTTGGACCCACTGACTCCACCCAGCTCTCCATACTAAGTCACTGGCACATTTTGATTGCTTTCCAATATGTGAGACAGTGGCATAGGAAGAAAATTCCTATTAGCTGCCTCTTTAGGCCAAGGAGGTCCTGCTCACAAGATGATGTCAGATCAAGAGAGAGGACTGCAGTCTCTCCAACACCACAATAATGGCATGAGAACAAGCCAGATTTGCCCCCGACTGCAATCTCTCCAACACCACAATAACGGCATGAGAACAAGCCAGATTTGCCCCCCCAGCTCCTGATCCTGAAGTCAATCAGTTCAGCAATACCCAAGAAACAGGCCATTTATTAATATCAAACACTAGTGCTGTAGAAGGGCCTTCCAATAACACCGATTATCACAAAGCATACACTTATCAGCAGCTTTCAGAGAATACTCACATTTCTCAGCATAGGTAAAACCAACTGCTCAAAGGAAACAAGGTCTACAACATACTGTCCAACCCGATATTCACGTCTTGAAGTAGAAGAATCAGAACTGAATTTGAAAAAGAGATACAGGATTCTTTCTAAGTAACGAGTTTAGTGAGAATTCACTGCAGTCATTTCAAGCGGATTTATGAGAAGTCATCCAAATAAATCAAACCCCCTTAATGCTTCTAAGAGAAGGAAAGAAACTCTGCAAACCATGCATTAAGTCATATTGCAGATAGCTTGTTTTCAGATGATAAATATACCATAAGCTACCTTCACAACTGTGCAAGCTCAAGTTTGAACAGTGTATGGAAGGACAATGACATCTAAAGGGCATAGTTACACTGAAATCGAAACTCCTATCTGCAGTTTTGTATTTGGTAATATGACACTACATCCAGCATCACAGCAGTAGCCCAAATATCAGTATGGGCTGCAAAACCCTTAAACAATCTTGGAAAAATACTCAGTCTGGATGTACTACACCACACTATCCTAGGTGAACTTCGGTCTAAAAGAGGTGCCAAGGTCACTCCTGGACAGTGACTATGCTTTGCACAAAATGTGAAAATCTAGATCTAGTGAATCGGGAGAGACTCTGAGCCCCTCTGCACTTCAGAGAACCCCTCTTAGTGGGGCTCCGAAATAGTTTTTTTCTTAAAATTCATATGTGAGCTTTGTGGGCCAGTCAATGGCTCTTTGAAACAATGTCATATGAAATATCCCTTCTTATTTTCCACTTCTGTCTCCAAAATTTAGCTGGTGGAAACACAGAAATCTTCCTCCCTGCCCACAACAAGCTACTTATTGCATCCCAAAGAGACTTGGCCTCACAATAAAAGGCTTGGCAGTGCTTCCTCTTTATCTGGTGTAAAAAAAGGCAGTAAGAGAGGACAACCCTTCCCAGCACATATTCGATATTTCACTGTGCAACAGAGGCACTGCCCACATATACAATATAGGTATCAGCCAGGACAAAGAACTTAACAAAGAACCTGACCATGAAAGCCATGTAGGCTGGAAATCACTTTCTGGAGGAGCATTTAACATGCCAACAGACCGGAGCAGACACGTAAAACAATAAGCCGCTTACAGTTATTAATATTTCAGTACCTGACTCTAGATAACGGTCCTCGGTTTCCAGACAAAGTGACAACATCAAATCCTGTCCTCCTGCCACCTTCTCTAACTTCCTCTGTGTAAAATCCATCAATGGGAATACCTGAGGATTTCAGAGCTTGAGCAACTTTCTGGATCAAAGTAGTCTTTCCAACCCCTAAAAATAAAGCAGAAAAAAA